GTGAAGTTTAACATGAGAGACACATTGTCATTACCATTCCCTGTGCAAATAAAGAGCAGGTAGGGTGACAGGCTGGGTTTGGATCTTGCAGCTTCTCTGAGCCCTTGGATTCATCCTATCCTAATGATACCTTGAAGGAAGCCAGCTGAGTTCCTGGGGCCCAAGGTTATACTGCTAAAAGGATTTTGCAGCTGTGCCTTTAGTAGCCACCCAGATGGCCTATATTACTTGTGAACATGGGAACATCTACCCTTTTGCTGGGCTTACAAGGTGTTAGTAAATGAAACCAGCACAAGTTAATAAAAAGGTGGGGCCTCCTAAAAACCCTGCTGCCCTTCCCCCAAACTGCTTCCTCTAGGGCAAGTTATGTAACTATATGTGTGTTGACACTGCCACCACAGGCATAGTAGTTACCTAAGCTAACTTCATACAAGCTAGCATGGGTCCTGGGAACAGTGAAACCACGGCAACTAGCAGCTTGGCATGGCCTTTTTCCTTGCTAGGAAGTCATATGCACCTGTGGCCACAGCATAGACACACCCTGTATTCCACTGACTCTGTTAATCCTACCAATGCTAGTGAATAATATCCATATGCCCAAGCTCATGGAAGGCACCTGGGAAGGGCTGCTCTTTTCCAAGGCACCTAGAGGTTTAACCATATCTGATACACTCCCCTCCATGGCTGGGAAGGAAGGAAAGAAGGAAGTAAGGAGATGGTTTAATACTTACACAGTGCTACTTAAGCCAGTGATCCCATTTTACAGAGATGCCTTGGCAGCATCATCCACATTTTATGAAGGGAAGAACTGAAGCACAGAGATCTGGAGGGATTTGCCTGAGATCATGCTACAAAATGATGTCTTGACTAAGCCATTGCTAATGTACTGATGTAAGAAATCAAGCGTTTACAATAGTATAGGAGAAAATCAGGTCCACACAGTCTGTTATGTCACATGCCTTACAGAAAGATCCTTGTATACCATTAGGCTAATGTCTAGCTCTGTGCGTCTGTAGGTGAGCCAGGGGCATGTCTAGTACCCAGTGATCCCAGAATGGATCTAGACCACACTGGGATAAGAAATGTAAAACTTGCCAACACATCACCACTCTCACAATAACTATGCCGCAAAACAGAACCACCACTATTCCTGGATCTTACACCTGCACCTCCAGAAACATAATATATCTCAGCCAGTACACTAAATGTCCAGATGGAAACTATGTAGGAGAAACCAAACCACAACTGCATACCAGACTGAATGTGCACTGAAAATCTAGAGAACAAAAATACCCAATTACCTGTGGGTGCACATTTCTCACAAGATAACCACTCTCGCTCCAATCTCTCAGTTCTAATCCTCAAAGGGAATTTACAAAGCGTCTGTCATAGACGAGCCTACGAACTTCACTTCATAAATCTACTGGGTACAAAAAAAAATCATGGATTAAATATAGAAATTGGATTTGTGGCACGTTATAACCTGCCTGCCATCTGATAACCCCAGGTAACATCTCATTTTCCCAGCTGAATTACATCACCTGTCAGCATTCCCTTCTTGTTTTCCTCCCACCTCCAAACTGTCTCATGCCTATTATCTCTGCTACCCATTTACATTTTCATAGACCTGCATTTTGCATATTAGCTTCAGCTTTGATTTGGACCCTAGAGAAAACACAAAGACCAGCAGACTCTCCCTATGCCTGAGGAAGGGCACCTGTGCCCAAAAGCTTGCAAAGAAAAATTATTCCAACTATTCAGTTGGCTTAATAAAAGATATCACGTTTACCCAAATAACCTTGTCTGCCTAGCACCCATTAGGTGCATCTACATGTATACTGTTACTGTGCTGTAACTTAGATTACTATGCAGTAACTGAAAACTACTGTGCAATACAGATGCGCATCTACACATGCACACCCATACTGTGTAGTAACTATGGTGACTTATGCCGACTTGGGCGTAAATTTGCTACCTGCATCATGCCGAGTATTTACTATGCAGTAAGGCACATGTAGATGCCTTACTGTGCAGTAACCCTGTTTGTGTGGACTGACCTGGGACTGACTTTAGTCCCAAATCAGCCCACACACAGTGATGTAACACCTGCACATGTAGACGCCACTATAAAAGCTGCTTACTGCACAGTAAGTTACTGCGCAATAAATACATGTGCAAATACAATGAGGCTTTGATCTTAGCAATTATGGCAGATTGAGGAAAGACTTGTCTCCTGACTGCCAGGCTGGCAGTCTCACCAGAGACAAGGAAATGACCCAAGACTGCTTGAAGACCCAAGCCATTCTTGAGAACCACATCTAGAGGTGACCCACCATTTCCAAAGACAACTCTTGAGGGGCTGTTTTCACACTGGAGGAATAAAAACAAACAAACAATGGGAGATAAAGCAGAAGGAGAAGGCAAAGGAAATCAAGGTCAGAATTAAATTCTTTAATACAAAAAAGGTTTGTTTGTTGCCGTTGTCGTTTTTAAGATATATCTGTAAATTCTTTGTTTAAAAATAAATATGTACTATGGAATATCTTGAAAAAATTCACTAGACACAATATGTAGTGTTAATATCTTTTTTCCCCGCAATTATTACAGATAAACAGTAGCACCAATAAATAAAATGATAACAAATATTAAAATTAAAAAGGAGAGAGATTCAAGATGTAGAATTTTCTATTTTTCCTGGGTTTTTTTACATATATAAAAATTCGTAGTGTCTATTTAATCCGAATCACACATATACATAAACATATATGTGTATATATATACATATACATACATATATATATATATACACACACATATATATATATATATATATATACATATATACACACACGCAGAGCCAAATATATATATATATATAGTATGTAGATGTATATCTAACCCTTGTCGCAATAGGAATGTGTAGGGGGATATGTGTTAGAGAAATTAATTAAATAACTGCCTATAACATGCTACTGACTCTGCCAACAATTGGGGAGATATGGGATGGGACCATAGGAGAGTTAAATTTATACACAACCAGTACAAATAAAAAAAAAAAAAAAAGAGGTATGACTTATAAATAGTTGAAATTAAATATTAACAAAGAATACTGAAAAATCCCTACTCTTTAATTAAATTATCTGTTTAATTTCTAATTTTAAAAGGGATATTAAATAAGTATATAAAACACTTTCTCTTCCCCCTTGGAAGTCTCTGTCTTGCACATGATGCAGCAGGAACATGTATACGTGTTGGAGGCAGGCAGATGCTGGCATGTTTCTCCCTCTCTGAAAGCCATCAGCTGCATGGGGAATTCCTAGTGGTTAGTAGTCACTTGTTGTGAGTCTGTTTTTAGACTGTCTTGTCTTTTGGAAGCTTCCCATTTGGTACATTATCAGGCGTTGAAAGTTCAATTGCAGATGACATTTGGCAGCATTCTGACACAGACCTAGTACCTTTTGGGTGACTGCATTTTTAAATCACAGAACTAGATTATATATCCACGTAGACATACAAACACACATTTTTGTGTGTGGGCATGGGTGTGTGTGTGTGTGTGTGTGTGTGTGTGTGTGTGTACACACACACACACACACACACACACACACACACCCCCATCACATATTACTGATATACACACAGCCCAGACTTTCAGCAGTGACTCGCGATTTTGCGTGACTCAGCTTTGAGTGCCCAACGTAACACACTTCAGAGGCACCTGACATTAAGAGGGCAGCTGTCCAGCACTTTGTGAAGAATCAGGCCTGTTTAGGGAGGGAACAGCTTGGGCACCTGAAAAATAAGGCAGACAAAATCCCAAGCCATTTTTTTGAAAGTCTTAGCCACGTATATTTAAAATAATATAATTATACACACACACGTGCGCACACATTCATGACACACATACACACAACCCTACTGTGTATATACTTTTGATTAATATCCCTTTCCAGAAACGTTCCATAAGCATCTTGGATGCTCTTCAGTGGCAGCTCTGTGCATGAAGAGAGCAGACAGTGCTGAACAAAGGCGTGGCTATACACCGGTCCCCATTCTTGCTTCAGCACACTGTAGGCCACGTGTCCTTTTTGCAGCCACCAACGGCGGAAAATGTAGACTCCTGTGATACTTCCTTGAGCGTAAAGGTTTGTGTATCAGCTGCTCACCATCCTTTAAGGCCAGACTGTACCCCTGGCAGAGTTTCTACAGTGAGTGATGTCAACACAAAACATACACTGATGTCCCATGTGCAAGCAAGGCAGACAGGTCATGAGATGAGTCAGGGTGAAGTTTGTGGGAAGGAGGGGAGAAGGAATCCTCAATCATGCAGCTGGCCCAGCATCCTGAGCCATTTCTGTGATCTTTCACCGTAACACCTTGAGGCGCTGCTCTTTAGAATCCCCTGACCCTCCTCTCTGTTAATTCTTCTCCCCTTCCAAGGTGAGGAGAATGTGGTTTGTGGAACAGCACGCTCTACAGAGAAACAGCAGAAGCCGCACAAGTCAGTAAGGGTTAAGAAGATTACACTCAGCGCTTCTGCCAAAGTCCAGTCTTAGCTTGTTTCTTATGCCCCAAGTAGCCCGCTTGTGTCCACAGCAGTCGAATATATCCAGTGAAGACACCAATAACATTAGTAATGTTAAAAAAAAATCAGTGTGTGTGTGTGTGTGCGCGTGTGTGTGTGTATGTATACATACACACACACACACGCACACACACACACACACACATACACACACACACATTTTCTCTCTCTCTCTATATGTATATGTGGTTAAAAATAAACACATACACACACACACACACACGCACGCACACACATATATACACGTGTGTGTGCGCGTGCATGTGTGTGTATATATATGTACACACACACATACATACACGCACACATGTATACACACATATATATATGTATGTATGGGAATCCCATAAAATACACCCTATAGTCTTCCTGGCTCCATTATTTAGCAGCATGAAAAGAAAACAAAAAACAACAGTTCAAAACCAAAAGGTGTATTCTGTGCGGCGGGTGCCTTGGGGAATGTTCCTTCCAGAGTCCATCATCCGTGCTGAAAGTGCTGTGCTCTACCGATCCTTCATTTTAGGGTTCATTTGGATTAGTGTTTTTTTTTCCTGTCCAGGTGAGAAATCAGGCTCCAAAAACAGGGCTGTTCCCCCTTCTTCTCCGCTGCTCACCGTCTTGGCTTGTCACATCTGCCAGGAAGGAGAGGGAAGAAAGAGAGGTTACATTTGTGATTTGTGGAGGATGGGACGGAGGTAAAGAAGGGTTGGTGGTGAGGTTAAGGCGGCAGCATTTCTATCCTACTGCACCCCTGCTGGGGCACTGCAGACTTTTCACACATCTGTGGAAGGTCGGGACAATATAACTAAGGATATCAACCTGGATGAAACACATTCCCCTGGGTTCTCCTAGGCTGAGGTTAGGGGGTGAGTTTAAGAGCAGAGTCACAGCAAAAGAGCTTTCTTCCTCCTCAACCTTCAACCCCACCTTGCTTTCCATTTACCCTTACCATCTACCCACACACTCACATGCACACGCACACACATGTACAGGGCCTGAGCCTCCCATGCAGAGACAGACAGACAGACACACACACACACACACACTGACTCTCCATCTAGCCTATCATTTCCATTTGAAGCAGTGCAGCCAAGAGTCTCATACAAGCAAAAAGATGAAAGGAAAGTGCCTCTCATTCCACTGGCTGCTGAGAGCAGGGGTTAGTGCCAGAGAAAAGCAGCAGCAGCAGCTTGCAGAAGCAGCAGGAGAAACAAGAACTTGCCCTGCCCCATAGGGCCCAACTTCAGAAACTCCAGAAAAGAGAGGGGGAGGAACTTCAGCTTAACCAGCTTTAAATCCGGAAACAGCTAAATTACCCACTCCCATGACTCCATCCTGTGCTCCTGGCCAATGCACTACCTCTGGAAACCTCTAATCATGCCACTCACCCCACCACAGGGAGGGACTGGCAAGGAAGTCTAATAATTCCTCAAGCCAGGAAGATTTTTTTTTTCACTTGAGACTATTTCCCACCCTTAAACTCTGTAGGGGTAATGCCAGCTGTTCTGGAAGTGGGGAAAGGGAGGGGGGAGTGGGACACAGCAGTAAGATAAGGTCAAGGGCAGGGAGCTGTCTGTTCTCACTCTCCAGGGAACTGCGCCTGCAGGGTGAAACGTAACTGAAGAAGAACAGCTCTGTTCTGGCCCCAGCACTAGTCACCCTCCCATTCAGGTAACAGCTTCCCAGATAATTTCTCTGCATCTAGAGCAGTTTCTCAAGCCCTGGCAATGCCGGAGAGCCAGGCTTTGTAGGGTTTGGCACAGAGCACAATGGCATGAGGCCGTTGGCTTGGTGAGCACCAAATCCCCAAGGGAGGGCTCCATACACAGACACTGCCCAGCCACAAAGTTTTACCAGGCAGGCAAAC